GAGAGAGAGAGAGAGAGAGAGGAGAGAGAGAGAGAGAGAGAGAGAGAGAGAGAGAAGAGAGAGAGAGAGAGAGAGAGAGAGAGAGAGAGAGAGAGAGAGAGAGAGAGAGAGAGAGAGAGAGAGAGAGAGAGAGAGAGAGAGGAGAGAGAGAGATAAGAGAGAGAGAGAGAGAGAGAGAGAGAGAGAGAGAGAGAGAGAGAGAGAGAGAGAGAGAGAGAGAGAGAGAGAGAGAGAGAGAAGGGAGACAAAAGTTGATAGTAAAATAGTGATAATAGCGAGTGATAAAACGAAAAAGAAAGGGCAAAAATCTCACCCAAGAAAAACGAAGCAAACAAACAAAAACACAAAAAAACAGAGATACCGATCCTTAAAGAAACAAAAAAACAAAAGAAAAGGGGCAAATTCTTACCTTTCCTCCCTCCCCTTTGTTTTCAGCCGGAGTTTCCGAAATGAACGCGCCCCGGCCTGTATCTTCACGCCCTTCTCGAGGCGGAGCAGCCGTGAGCGTGGGCCTCCGAACGTGTGGCAGATGAACGTCCTCTCTCCATGAACGGCCCAGATCCATGACCACGTTCCTGCCGTGACCTCCCGTGACCTCTGCGCAGCGAGGTTGGAGGCCGGGCTTTGTCAGGCTGTCAGTGCTCCGTTTGTTTCCTTCTTCTCGGGTAAAATGTTATGTTGTGGCAGGATGAAATTTCTTAATTAGTTCCTCCGTAATTGGAGGCGAGAATCAGATCTCGCCTGTCGGACTACCGTTCGCGGCGATCCCCGGAATGCGCGCGATTAAGCTTTGATCATATATAGGAAATATTCTTTCTTTGTTCATTGTTATTGCTTCATGCTCCTGTGCTTGCTCCATGTCCAGTTTCCCTTTCATAATAGGATGCAATATCCCCATTGCACCTTACCTGTATAGAACTTTACGTGTGCAAAATTTCACACCGAAGGCCAGTGTTTACCAATCCATTAGCTCTACTTTGGGAAACGTGGGTGGTTCTCTGGGCTCGTGTTGTTGTTTACTCTTTTCTTGGTCTTTGTCGAATACGGAATTCCACGTGAGAAATAAAAAAAAAAAAATTGTTTTGATATGAATATTACATGTTTCTTGAATACCACCCAGGAAGTTATATTCATTGCCATAAATAGTATGGGAGAGAAAGAGAGTGTGAAGAAGCATAAGATAATGATGATTATAACAATTACGTAAGGAGAAAGAAGATGGCGGACAAGAAGAATGTAGAGGGAGGGGGGTGCAGGAAGAATAAGAAGAAAGTGCATAAGGATGAAAAACAAGAAACAAAGAAATAGGGGGGAACATAATAGTCCACTTAATTCCCCTCTCGTCGGAAGCATGAAGACAATGCCACTCCTTCTCAGTCTTTTATTTCGACATTCGCAAATACACGATGCTGCGTGACTGTGCTTTGGCCCCAAGTATGCACATCAAAGCCCCACGAGAGCTGCCAGACGACCTCACAACACTCCAAAAGTATCTTCGGGAATCGGGCTAAACACTTACATACCGCAGTGTGTTGAGGGTGACTCCTGTGTTATTCTGGCTGCTTGTTTAAACCCAGGACTGCATCTCGTTAGGGAAATGGTTGCGGCGGTTGGAATTTTACGCCCTGGGTGAGCTTGACGGTTTTGGGTGCGACTTTGAGAGGAAGGAATGATGCTTTGGGCGACCTAACTCTCTCTCTCTTTTTTGAGGGGGAACGAGTTTGAGATAAAAAGTTATGCTTTGAGTGATCAAACACGGTGGGGGATGCTTTCGAGATAAGGAATTAAGTTTGGTGTGATATTACAGTTTTGGGAAACGATGTGACGATAAGAATGGGTGATAGATCACTCCTGAAAACGACAATGAGATGGAGAACAATGCTTTAAGTGAAAGAACACTTGCAAAAAACGACTTTGAGAACAAGAGATTTTGTTTTTACCTCAGGTGACAGAACTCTCCTAGAAGCGACTTTGAGAGAAGGAATACTTTTGAAAACGACTTTAGGGGTGAAGAATAAAACCTTAAATAACTAACAGAACACTTTTGAGAAATCGCTTTTGTGGTATGGAAATGTGCCTCGGGATATCTTATACTTCTGGAAACGACTTTTAGGCCAAGAATTATGCCTAAAGGGATTTCATAGTTTTGGAAATGACTTCACGATAAGAAATGTTGCTTTAGATTCTACGGAAAATGAAAGAACGACCATTGACTGTTATTTTGGATTTTTAAAAATATGATATTGCTGAATATATATATACATACATTCATATATATATATATATATATATATATATATATATATATATATATATATATATATATATATATATATATATATATATAATCCTGCGTCTGGTACGATTTTGATGCAAGGGATGATGATGTTTTATTATTGAAGAAATGTTGAGTGGCAGGTTTCGAATAATTATATTTTTTGGTGGAAGGATTAGTGGATTTCTGAAGTCATTATGTTTATGGCCGCCTTGATACCATGGG